TTTGTTTTTTTACATTTTTTTTTTGTTAAAGGCCTGCCAGCAGTTTACTTTAAACGTTTGACATAAAGAAGTCCATCGTTTGACTGCTTCCGACTGGGACCTGCGCTTAAACTTTGGACTGCCGTTTGGCCAAAACGGCGACCGCTGCGATCCCTGGCCGATAAAAGGAAGACAGAATGACAGAGATTTTATGTCGATGTTTGTGTAAAAGAGTGTCATAAAAAACCCAACTAAAGATGGGCAAAAAACAATATGCTTGCCACCAAGAACTACGTAAGTCACGTTTGTAGCGTCACATTGGCGACAGTTTTGTGGGGAAGCTCCACGAACTAGCCCCCATATGCCATAGCGAGGTGTCGGAAGGCCTCAAAGATGGCAACGAGCAACACCCGRGAGCCGGGTAAATACACATACATACATGTCAAGTATGCGGCAACTGTCATAAATTCAAGTCGAAATTCGGGTCTGGACTGAGCAGATAAAATATGTACATATATAGACGAATATGTATATATGTATATATGTACATGTGTATGTATGTTGTTTTATCGAAGACTGACTAGCTAAAAAAAATGGCTTTTTAAAAAATTACATTAAATTTGTGCGCTTCAGTGGGCAGGAATTTATTTTGTTGCACGCTCCTTGGACGAGGACAATGCCGCTGTCGCCCAAGTGGCGGACAAACAACAAGTACAACAACACCATAAACAGCACCAAATGGCACTTCAAGTGCCAGACAATCAATAGCGACAGAAGCAGAGTCAGAGGCAGAGGCAGAAGCAGGCACAACAAATTGCTAGCTGTCCCATGCAATTGTCTTTGAGCGGGCCTGTCTCTCTCCTTCTCTTCCGTTCTTCCGCTCCCTTAATCCTCTCTCTCTCTCTTAATCTTTGTCTATGACTTAAGCGTGAGAGCTTGTGTTGATTCTGTTTGTGACAGGCATATATCATGGCAAAATGATATCGCGCAACACATAATTATAAAACTAATTAGCTAAGAGATGGCAAACAAATGACGTCGCAGAGCGCAACTCAAGTAGTTGGCACTTCAATATAAAGCAGCTCAGTTCATGTGGGAAGCAGTGCGCTCTTCTTGGCGATTCTCAGCTCAAAAGAGCTACATGATTGAGCGAGAGCTACATGATGAGATGACTTTGTGATTTTTTGTGATTATTTTCGGCAGTAAATATAAATCTAAATAAATTTCTCTAGTGCTTAAGTATTTATTTCTCTCAAGATTTGTAAACCTATTTATATTTGCCCGGCCAGCTAGCTGACTATATTCATATTTCCTGCACAAATCTAAGGTATTTATAAAGTTCTTGTTGAAAATTCTTATTTGATTCGATTGTCTTACTACAGTTTCCATTTTTTGGGAATTTTCCCTCTCAAAGTGCACTTGTTACCATTTGCTTCCTTGGCGTAAGAGCAAATTTTATTTTTTTTGTATATTGTTTTTTTTTTTTTTTTCTTCCTGTCGCTGACATCTAAGCGCCTCAATCGCATAGGCAACGTGTCAATGACATTGTCTCTCATTTCGGACTCTGTTTGCCATCATCATCGACGAGAGTTACACAAAAAGATCAAAGATAAATTTCCAATTTTTCTGTCACGCCTCATCAAACGCACCAAATACAGTGGCACAAGGCAGGGCTCGTCTTCTAACCTTCCCATCTCCCATAGCTGGCCTCCCCACTCCTCGAGCGTAGCGTCAAAAAAGCAACTTGAACTGAACTCATATGAAAAGCTTTTGCTATTATACCACGCTCATTGTGGGGATTGTTGTTTGTTGTATCGTTGCTATTATTGTTGACTTTATTGTTATTGTAACGCCGCGCAGACGAGACTTTAACAATTTTTATATATTTTGTTCGTTGCTCGCTTTCATTTTTGGTTGATTTTTTATTTTAGCTATAGATTGACAGCTTTTGTTGGCCAGTGCCAAACACTTCAGCGCGCGGCCCAGCACAATGCGCTTGGCAAATGAACGTTCCCCGTGCGCTGCAAGAGGATCCGAGTAACCCGAAAATGAACTGAACTCCACTATGCCAGCAGGAGTACTCAATGGCAGCAGTATCAGCAGCAGCAGCAGCAGCCAAGTACAACAACAACAACAAGAACTTCGTTATTGTACATGGCCAGCATGGGGCTGACGTCAGCGCCATGTAATGCAATTAAGTTAAATTTTCGCTGTTCAACAGAAAAAAATGATGACTTCCTCAGTATTTACTTTGAAGTATTCTGCTTGCCCAGTAAAAGCCATATATAAATGTATGTGTGTATTGTATATGTGTGATGCTTTGATTTTTAATGATTGCTAACAAATCTGCTTATAAAGGAAATACCAAATGCGCTAGGAAAAAAATGATAAAACAAAAGTTCTTAGTATTTTTCTCAATTCTTCCAATCATTAGCAAACATATTCAATACTAACTGTTAATGAATACAGGTTAACAACATGATTTATATTTAATTCAATTATTTTTCTTATTTCGACATGCTATGGTTTATTTTGGGAGAGAGAAGCATGATTATAAGATACTTAGAAATTTTTTTATTTTTGCTTTTTGTTTGTCAAGAATGTTTTCTTAATTTATTGAATTATTTTTTATCGTTTTTTTCATAATAACAATTATTATTATTTTATTGATTTTTATTTAAATTTAAAACAATGCACACATTGGATGAAAAGTACAAAACGTAAATAAATTATTTAAAGTATAAAATACAATATTTGAAAAAGTATATATATTTTGAACAATAAAATAAAGTTTATTATTATTATTTTATTGATTTTTTTAATTTAAAACAATACACACATTGGATGAAATGTACAAGACGTAAATAAAATATTTAATGCATAATATAATAATAATATTTAATATTTTGAGTAAAATTTTGTTATCTAATAAAATCGAATTAGTAACGAAAAAAATTTTAGGTACACTCACACTTTTTATTTTGTGTATTTAAGAATATTAATAAAGCCTACATACATAAAAGATAACTTTAATATGGGCAAAAACCTTCTCATTTGTCAGTCATTAAAGCTGTCCAAGCGGCATCGACAGATAGACTACAATTTATGTCTTTTGCAGAGAACTCAAATTACTCGCATTATCTACGCACTTCGCCACGCATCGCACAAATCTATATGTCAACTAAATGTCCTCCAGCTCCAGATGCGCAACAACAACAAAAACAACAGCAACAACAAAAAAAAAAAATGCTGGGTTTATTGACCCAGAGCGTCGCTCGGCAAATTGCATGAGGAGCGTGAATCAAGTTGGTAGCATATGGAAAAGTCGAGTCGAGTCGTCTGATAAGAGCATTTCGTGCCCTATTCCTATTCCAATTCCAATTCCTMTTCCTATTCCTATTAATATATATATGAATGCATACAGCAAGCAGTCGCACTAGTATATATATGGGCTAGACGGTTGCTTAGCTGGATATTAGACTGTCGACTAAGTTGGGCCGCGCCCCCGTCTCAAATTGTCCAAAGAGATTTATTAGTTGGGCGTTAATCCCCTGCGGCCTAATACATCATTTCAATTTGTTGCAAGTCGTGTTTATTTGCTGAAGTTTTCGTGTGGGATTGGGTGAGCAGAAGCCACCGCTTTGTGTGGGGCAGCAAGGAAGTATATCTCCCTAGAAGAGAAAGAGAGAGAGAGAGAGAGAGAGAGAGAGAGAGAGAGAGAGAGAGGGAGAGATTGCTGGCCATCGGCTAAAACTATTTCACTTATTTACTTTCATAACTTGCAAATTGTCAACTTATTGTTGGCTCGCCATGAAACGCAGACAACAAAAAATTTCTTTCTTTGGGTTAGTGCAAAAAGTTTTATGCTCCGACAGTTTCTTGGGTAAGTGGCTTATCATGGCTGGAGCTGTGGGCGTGCCAGGGGCGTGGCACTTCAGCTATAGCTCTGCTTACCCCCGTCCAGCTGACGTCCCTCGTATATGCGCTAGTGAGGTGCGTATATATAATTTAATTAGCTTAAAAGTCAGTCTCTCGGACTCTCTGGGACTGGGAATTGCGGAGTGCGTGTTCGTGATTTATATATTGAGAAGAAGATTGCCCCATAACTGTATTGGCCGAGTGAGTTATCACGCAGTGAAGAAAAAAGCCAACTGCCTCTGCGGGCAAAGGGTCCAGTCAAGGCCGAGACTTGCGTAAATAACTTGTTAGACTCAAAGAGAAGCCATGGAAGGGGCGCCTATAGCAAGACAAACTACAAGAGAGTTAAGATATGGTGAGTCAATTTAATTGATAAATCAAAGAGTATTTAAGTTAAGTGAATACTTTGAGTCTTCATCCCAAGAACTGATTATGATTATGTTAAATTCATTTTGCTAATCAGCTTAAAGTAAAACTCGATTGCAAGTCATCGTTCAATAAGTGCGTGGCTTGAGTCCCATATTAATGCCAGTTGTCGAGCGCAAGATCAGATTCATGATCGGCTGCACAGGCTCGCCCAGTGGCAGTAGCTCGAAGTGTCTCAGCATTTTGCTAACGGTGCTCTTCATCTCGAGCATGGCAAACTTTTGGCCAATGCAGTTGCGCGGACCCGCCGAGAAGGGCGCGTATGCAAAGACATCGATGTTGCCGTTGTTCTCGGTGCTAAAGCGATCCGGATTGAATTTTTCGGGCTCGGGGAAAAAGTCTGGATCGCGCTGTGCGTTGTAGATGATCAGGATGATGTTTGTGCCGGCTGCGAAACGCTTTCCATCTATAAAAGAATAAACACGAGTTTAGCACGCGAATTTTCTTTCGGATGCTCCACTTACTCAACGTCACATCCTCTGTCAAATGGCGGCCAATCATGGGCACTGGTGGGTACAAGCGCAGCGACTCCTTAATGACGCACTCCAGATACTTGAGCTCGCCCAGATCCCGCATGGTCGTCGGCTTGGCCTTGTCGGTGCCGATGACGTCGACGATCTCCTGGAAGGCGCGCGCCTGCACCTCGGGATGTCTGGCCAGCAGGTACAGAGTGTAGGAGATGGCACTGGTCGTCGTGTCGTGACCCTCAAACATGAATGTGTCCACCTCCTCGCGAATGTCCTGGTTGCTCAGTGGCTGGCCATCGGCCGTCGACTGCAGCAGGACATCCAGTAGCGCCATGCGCCGTTTGCTGCCCACGTCCTCGTCGTCGGCACTTTGAGTGGTCTCCTCGAGAGTCTTTTGCAGGGTAGCGCGACGCTCTGCAATCACCTTGTCAGTAAAGTCATGCATGGCCTTGATATTGCGGTTCAGCTTGCGGAAGAGCAGCGGGTAGAATATGCGCATGGTTTCATCGAACCGCTGCAGCGGACTCACAAAGCGCTCGGCCATGATGCTGGACACACTGAGGAAAGAAAAGTGGCTCTTGAGTGACTTGTAGAGGGAAATCAGTGCTGGCGGCACTCACGTCTTCACGGCCTGCACATAGGGAAAGTCGGGCTCGCGTTGCGCATTGATCTTCACGCCCATCGATGTTTCGGCTATGATGTCGAGGGCCGCGAGGCAGGCGACGGGGAACATGTTGATCACAGTCCTGCCATCGGCTCGATCGTACAGTTTCTCGGCCATAATGGCGCTCTGCTGATCGAAGACCTCGACAAACTGCTCGAGAATCTTGAAGTGGAACGTGGGCGTGATGATCTTGCGGCGTCTGAACCACTTCTTGCCGGTGCTCAGCAGCAAGCCATTTCCCAGCCAGTATTGCAGCAGATTGTACAAACTGTTCTTGGTTATTGTCTGCTGGCTGCTCAAAATGGCCTCCATCATTCGCACATCGGCCGTGATGAAGCCATACTCGTGCAGCAGGGTCAATTTGACGTTTTTACCATATTTTGCAATCAGACGCGATACCAAGTCCAGCATGGCTGCAATATAGTTCAAATATCAGCCCCCTCTATAGATAAGAAAACGTCTATATTTAGTGAGCTGCTTACTCTTGGCGGACTCGCCCATCATTAAGACTGGTGCATTGCCCAGCACCGGCAGCTCTACGGGGCCCTTGATGCCAGCCTCATCTATCATTCGCTTCTGCCGTCGCGTATTCAAGTAGTTCCAGAACCCGAGAGCCGTTAGCAGCAGCACAACAATTTCCAAGAACATGACGCAGGTTTAGGCAGCAAAAATTTAATAATTAATACAAAATTCAAAACAATCTTTTAAAAGCCGAGCCAGCTGTTCGCTGCTATGGCTAATGCTTGACTGCCCCAGCGCACCAAGCTGTCGAGTATTTTTGTACTTCGATGTGCCAAGTGCTTGATTAGATAAGCCAACTGTGCCGCTTATCGGCGAGTGTTAAGCTTTCCGATTGGATGCGAATTGCTAATCAGACATTATTGAGCTAATGTCACAAAATTTGCTAAAAACATGAGTAAAAACTATTAGCTTTAGGATTGCAAGTACATTTGTCCCTGTGATTAGCGCAAGACTCGCAGATGCCGAGACATCGTAAACAAAGCTACAATTTAATTTTAGTTTGCATACAAATATATTTTATTTATGTATATTTAAGAAAAATTAATTTACTTAAATTTATTTGTTTACTCAATATAC